GCGGGGCCGGCGGGGTCAGTGGGGGTCAGCGGGGTCGGCGGGGTCAGCGGGTGGGCCGAGGCGGCTGTGGGCGGGGAGGAGCAGACCTGGAAGGCATTGAGCTCCTCGTCGCTCAGCGCCTGGTCCAGGTCCTGATCCAACAGCCAGAAGATGCGTGTGAGGGCCTGGACACACGCGGGCCTCAGCTGTGGGGACAGCAGCTCAGTAGGGCTGTGGCCCTGTCCCTCCCACCTATTTGCTCTCCCCTCCTGGCGCCCACAAGAAGTCTGGAGGACTGCGTGTGTGGGCCCTACCCACCTGCTTGGCCTCGGGATCATAGAGGGGGGCCGTGGGGTGTAGGACAGCCTTCTGGGCGTAGAAGAACAGCTCTGAGACGTTCCTCAGGGTCTTGGCTGAGCACTGGGAGAGCGGGTGGCTTGCAGTGGACCCGGCACAGGCAGGAGCCCCACCAGGCCTGCAGGGAATGCTCCGGGCCTGGGGCTGCAGCACCAGGGTTTGCTGCAGGATTGCCTCCGAGTCCCCTTCTCGCCTGAGCGTCTCCGTGGACCTGGCCAGGCCACCTGCCCTCACCCCACGCCCTCACCTCCACACAGGTTTCAATCTCAGGGAACTGGCTCATGATGGGCAGCACAGACTCCAGGGAGCCCCCCGGCCGCAGGTCCGACTTGTTGCCCACTAAGATGACAGGCGGCCTGGGGAGAGCGCACGGTCACCAGTTGCAGGGAGCCGTGGGCCAGTCCCCCAGCCTGACTGTTACCTGGGCCCGGTCTCAGTGCCCCCGTTCACCAAGGGCAGCCACTTGCTCCGGACCTGAAAGGCAAGCGCAGCCGTGAGCTGAGCTGTCCAGCAGCCTCCCGTTCAGGGCTGAGCCTGAGCCCGGCGTTGGGGTGCAAAAGGAGAGGTCAACGCCAAGGAGGGACAGAGGCTGCCCCTTGCGGAGACTGGTGGGGAGAGGCAGCCCGGCCCGTCTGTCTCTGGTCTGCGCTTGGTGAGGGGGCGCTCCTGGTCTAAGTGGTTAGCCTGACAGCCACCCAGGGTCCGTGGGGAGTCGGGGCTCCTTGGGCTGGGGTGCCTCTGCTGTCAGGCTCTGCCCAGGACCTCTCACCTTCTCCATGGCGCCCTCCTCGGAGACGTCGTACACCACGCACACCACATCTGCCTGCAGGGCGGGAGAGCAGCTGGGCAGGCCGCCAGGGTTACCAGGCAGAGCAGCCTCGCTGGGAGGCTATTCATGGGGCAGGTGCTCCCAGCCAGGTCACCCCGAAGACCAACAGCAAGACTCCACTCCCAAAGAACACCTCCCCTGCCTTCTCCTACGCAGACTCCCAAGACGCTGCATGGAGCAGTCGCAGCAGGGCCTCCGCTCCTGCCTTGCCAGAGCAGCCCAGAGCTGCTGGGCTGGGAGCCCTCCATGCCCAGGACCCAGTGCGGCCTGCGCCCCCAGGGCAGGGGAAGGCGGTGCTGCCTGCCACCGGGGGAGCAGGCAAGCGGATGGAGTCAGACCTGGGACTGGGACGGGCACCCTGGGCTAGCTGGGCCCTGGGGGCGGTGTGTGGAAGCCCAGGACCCGGAGAGCAGCAGGGCGGGCGGAAGATGGCGCCCTTCGGCACTGGGTGCAGCGCCGGCCCCGCACCTCTACCTTGCGGATCTCGGCCCGGAGCTCCTCGTCGCTCTGCTCGGCTTCTAGACAGAAGAGGGACCCACTGCAGGCGCGGCTGGGCGGGCGCGG